CTGCCTCTTACGACACCGCAGTTGAGACCCGCACTCTGTCGGGAGTGGTAATTCCGAGGCTTAAGGCGGCTCCACATAATCGTTATTCGGCGATTAGCGAGCAACCCGTTCGCCGGACCCGAGTAGTGTGAATGTGTTGCTTGCTATTTACCGAGTGACGAACATTCAGCGCTCGCCCTACCCTCCGCGTCTTTAGGTCACATCAATGATTCGCCGCACACATCAGCTGTTCGGGATTGGGCGAGCAGTAGCTCGCAGCTCGGCGAATACCGGCTGTGCGGAGCCGCCTGAACAAGACGACGTACCTCGAGTACACTCGTTCCGGTGTCACTTGGCAACTCGCTGACTCATCTGCTAATTCGAAACGCTAACGCAAAAATTGAACTCCATCACACGACCTGAGCGCTGCAGCGCTGGCGCGACCTGGCGGGGCGGAGACGTCACTGCGTTCTGCTGTATCCCGTCGCCGCGCGGCCTAGCGGCTGTCCGAGGGAGTGGGAGGGGGAGGGTCCCCCTGACTCAGTGCCAGCAGCCGCAATCGATAGCAGCGCTGCGCACGCGCCAGAAACAGCTGCAAGGCGCGCGCTTTAAGCCTCAAACTCCACGTGGCAAGTATGCGGGACGAAGACGAAAGCGAAGTGAAAATAAATAGTTGCAAGCCCGATTACTACTGGAGATCAGAAACATGACCATAAATTGGTTTCACGTTTATTATTTACATTGTTACGAGATAGTATATCTCTAATCTATTTCTTCAATATTAGTTAGTTTCCGATTGAAATTCATAATCGAAAAACTTCCGAGTCCGCCCATCATACTTGGTGCGATGGTAGAGCGTTCTTCCCCTTTTCTGTGATATAACTTCATACTATCACTACATTAAGTGAAATACTGCTGCATGTCAGAAAATGACTCGCTTGTTTTACTGAAACTTGGTAAATACATTAAAAGTATGACCGAGTTATGTCGTTCACACTTAGAGCTGGTGTGCGTATTGCTGCCGCGGCCGGGAGTTTATTGTTGCTGGACTATCCGGGACGAGCCGTGTCAATTGTCATGGTAGCTAACGTTTCGGCCACGGTATTGTGACCATCTTCAGAGAGTAGCTGGCCGAAACGTTAGCTACCATGACATTGACGCGGCTCGTCCCGGATAGCCCAGCCAACACACTTAGAGCTGTCAGTTGTTACGTACGAGGAGACAATTTAATGAAAAATTTAGAGCTGCTTTTGATCATTTTTTTAGAAATTGTATAAATTGCAGACATGCAATTACGCGAAATCTATTCGTTTTTTCAAATGCTTGTACTTGACCATTTTTAAAGATCTGTTTTCTTACGGCCGACTTTGTCTAAGACAAAAATCGTTATATTCAATTTTGTAGTTTTGAAAAGTTAACTTTTGGCAACTATTGAAAATGGGACCAGCATCATATTGTTTTACCATCCTTTGATATTTCTCCTCGTATGCATCAAAGGACAAAAATAGAGCCGATTAAGAAAGAAAAATTGTTAAAACGTTTTTAACATTGCCTATATTTTGTGCAAAATTACACAAAATATACTCAGTTTCAAAAAACTGTCTTTAAAAACAAATTTCATTGATAAAAAATATATATTGTAGTCGGAGATACGCGCCAAAAAATGCCCTTTTGCAATTTTCGAAAGTCAAGTCTTTCAACGAACATGAGGCCTACACAATTCATTTAAGGATCCTTTTCGCTGAGAGCGTAGGCTTCCACGGCCGGAGACAGTATGTGCCTGACTGTTCGGGAGACGCTGCATCCAAGGCACATGTATCAACGTTTCGGCCGCCATTATGCGAACGTATTAAGGGCGTAATGCTTGTCTTGATGTGCATTACGCCCTGAAGAAGGTCGCAGAATGGGGGCCGAAACGTCGGTTCTTGTGCCTTGGACGTGGTGTCTACCGCACAGTCAAGTGCATATCTTTTACGCTATCCCAGGAAGCCATTTTCTCAAAGAAAAATTTGAAAGTATAATTGAGGCTTCATTTAAAGTACCATCAAAAATAAAAACATCCGTTGAAACTCCCAAACCCTTGAGTTCGTTCACATCGATCAAGGAATATCAATTTTGGAGAAAATCGGATCAACGCGCGATGGAAGTAACGCACGTCGCCAAGAGCGCTCGTGTACCGTTTCGCATAAGATCTAGTGTTAGCCTACGGCGCGCATCAGCGGTAGGTGGCGCGCGTGAACGCAACGGCCGTGTGCAGGGAGCGAGAGCCGCGGAGGCGCCGCCATGGAGGTGTTGCCGGACGAGATGGTGCTGCACGTGATGTCCTTCCTGGAGCCGCAGGAACTGCTGGAGACAGCGGCGCGCGTCTGCCGGCGCTGGGAGGACCTTGCGCTCAACGTGGCGCTGTGGTCAGCCGCAGGTCAGTGGAAGGTCGTCCGCGCGAGCCGGGAAGGGAAGGGTTGATTGATTGGTTTGATTGATTGATTAGTGTTTACGGGCGCGTCAACGGCTTAGATAAGTTCAGCGTAGTGCATGTTTTTATTGTGGGAGGTGGCGGTGTCCCTCCGCCGCTGGATGGGAGATCCGGCGCCGCCGTACGTTCACAACCGGGGATTTTCTCCAACCAGGTATCTCCCACCTGCAGGGCACCGCGCCAGCCAGGATACGCTCTAGGCTCCCGACCGGTCTCCCGGCATGTGTGGTAGTGTAGCGCATTTAAGTGGAATTTGTTATTGGTGAGGATAGATCAAGGAAGAGCATGGAAAGATCGCACGCGGTCCGGAGCCCATTTCTTAGAGCACTGCTTCGTCATTCACCTGGTGTTGCTCGGACAAACAACGGAAAACTACCGATCAGAATAATAGGCCGGTAGATCTCTCCTCCAGACAACAGCTGAATTCGACCTAGCTAACAAGCCAGTGTCGAAAATCCTGCCACCGTTGGGACTCAAACCCTAGAACGCCCCTTGGAGGCACTGCTGATGTGCCCAGTGAATGCCTAGTGCCACCATTGCCCGAGGGAGGGAAGGAGGGGGCTGCTGATGCGGCCGGAAGAAGCACGCAGTTCTTCGCTCAGAGGGTGGTTTTACCTGACATTCTGGCTGGCGATTGTTGGGATCCCGCCCTTAGTTCCTCGCCCGAACTGAGGGAAGCTAGAGGGGCTCTTTCTCAAGGACTGGTGTCTAATACGAAGATGACATGCGTCCGAGAACGAACCGGGCTGTCTCAGATAATTCATCAAGCTGACGCTTCTCTACACAAAACCAGGTCGCAGCACCCCCCCCCCCAGAAGCACCCCACCAGAGATCCTCGCCTGGGTCCGAATTTGGGTTCAAATGAAATAAAGACATCAGATATTTGGATAGTTTAGACGTATGTTCTCTAATGATACACTAGTTTCCACATCTGTCTGTACCATTGCTAGGTTGTCATTCAATTATCATTACAATTTTAAGCTACTTATTTATCCATTCAAACCATTTACCACCACTTCAGTGAAATCAGGAACTCTAAAACATACATTGCTGTTACAATTTCTCTTGTAAAAAGAGGGTAAGTCTAGATTTACAATAATAACATGAAGAAATAATTCACTTACGTCCTATGCCAGAAAACCATAGCACGATGCCTTATCTCCCTCAAAATTATAGAGTTTCTTCTGACTCTTCAGAGTACTCTACATCTAACATCCATGACTCGGCCCGCTGTCTCTGTGGCAGTTCGAGCTGCGAAGGGGGCGCATTTCGACTCTGGTTATATAGCTAGGTCGAATTCAGTCGTCGTCAGAAGGGGAATTCCAGGGGGTCGGCTGCCCTGATCGGTAGTTTACCGTGGTTTCATCAATTCCAGGCAAATGTTCAGTACTGCTAAACATACGCGTCCAGAAACGCAGTGCTTGCGAGATCTGTGCTTGCTCTAAACCTTAACCCATCCTCACACCATTTATCCTACGTTTCTTACACTTCTTGCACCATACTCGTCTGGGGACAATCGGGAATTGAGAGCTTGTCAGGGTGGGGCTGTGACCGAATTTCCCGAAGCCGTGTGTAAGTAGGCGTTGGATTTCACCACAGCTGGGAAGGAACGTCGTCCCCTCCAGACGACTAAATGAACTGCTAATGAACATATCAACGGGCGTGCCCAACGGGAACTGCTGCATGCCGCTACTGGCTACCCATACGCCGGCACGCGTCCTGCTGAGCGCGGGCGCGCGCGGGGCCGAGGAGTCCGGATCGGGCGGGGCCGGGTCGCTCGCGCTGCGGCACGCTGTCGTCGCGCGGGCGCGAGACGCCGCGAGCTGGTGCTGGCGCGTGGCGCGGCCTGCGCGGCGCTGCAGGCGCCGGACCGCAGCGGTGCCGCCTGCCGCCGACGCGCTCGCGGCCGCCTGGCGCGCGCCTCCGCGGCTGCGCGCGCTCCGCCTGTCCACGACTCGGGCCCCGCGGCGCCTGCCTCGACTACCGCGCCCGCTCGCCCGCTTCGCCACCTCACCGGCGCGTCAACGTCGCCACTCTGCAAAGGTCGCCTCACCACTCAGGCCAGCGCGCCTCTGCTTCAGCCTCGTACAGCAACTAAAACAACGAACTGGCCTGCCAACGGTACTTAAAACCGTGCGTTCGCTGGCGAGTGATTCCGGGCACAAACAGGCCTTCATAATGTTAACAAAAGATAGCTCGATGTTCACGTCGGCCTTCACTTCAGTGGATTTTCTTATATGTGAATATTAATGATCAATTGAATATTTAAAAGACACTTTTCCATTTTTCTCGACATATTAGCTCATTTGTGGTGTCGAAAGTTGGCGTACATAACCTGCAGCTGCCTACCCAGAGACACTAGCGCCTCCTAAGAGTAGACCTCCGAGCTTGTCCCTGTTTTGGTGGACGCAAGGACGCAAGGCTCCTAGTGACTGCGCGTCGTTTCAACGCATACACTTTGAACTTGACAATCAGTATCTTTCAACATGCTCCAACTGGCGTCCACAGGGGGCGAAATGGTGCTTAACTGGCTTCAAATGCAAGTGAAATGCCCACGCAGGACCAGAGCACTCGTCAGTCACGAGTGAGTTTTTTAAATGGGGGCCGGGAACAGTAACTGAAATATTGGGTCTACGACATTTGCTACTCCAAACGGAGATTGACGTTTGAAAGCGATATATGGATCAGAATCGGCAGCAGAAATACTTTCATTGCATCTCCAATGTCTGCAAATTTGGAAGAGAAACCTACAGCGAGAAATACGGCTTTCACAAAGATAAGCTTTCAAAGTCGGCCCCCAAACATTAATGCATGTGTTTCAAACTCTTAGAACTTCGAGCGAGGGTAGATCAACAGGGGTTTATTCAGTTTCGAAGTAGTCCTACGTATGTCTTAGGCTCTAGTGTTGTTCACAGACAACGGACGGTCAGCTAGACGGACGGACGTTTTGAAAAAAAAAATAATATAAGGGGATCACAAAACGTGTATTTCCATTTAAATTCCGAAATAGATTTTTTTGCAGCATACGTAACTTTCTCTAGTCTACGTATATTACTTTGTATTACGTACGTATACGAGAAAGTAAAACAACTTCATTTAAAACTGTCTCAGACTTGATAAAAAATATTTGTATTTTTTAAAGTTTTTGATGCTAGTCTTATGATGATGAATTGAGTTTTATTTGCAAAAAGAAAAAAAAGAAAAAGATTGCAAAGATTAATAGCTGTTATGCAATAAATATTTTTATGATGCAATTATACCATGCCTACGACGTAGCAACTCCCTAACAGTCAAAAATTTACTATGCATATAGCTCACAGCTTGATTGCCTGAATACAAAGTGAGAGCTACCTAATATTTCCGGGTATTTACTTATCGTCTAAAATTTTGACGATTGTTCCTTTTGAAGTGAGGTGGAGCAACAAATAACCTATTAAAAATATTTTTTACTTGCAAAACTCTTTGGTGTCTTAGGGAAGAAAGACATTATTTCTTTCTTCCTTACTGCCTCCTAAGGATATTATTGAACTTCCTCCAACGTTCTCTGTTAGTAAGGCTCTATTTTAGAACGTCACCGATAAGACTGCGCAACTCATCGTTGTATTCCGTGACAACACTTGATAATAGTGTGAAAATGTAATAATGGAAGAGAGACTCAGAGTTATCTGTGTCATCTTTCCAGAGTGACTGATGACTCCGGATCTGCAAGAAGGCTTTAAAAATGTAAAGTGTGGGAGTTGTGGATTCCTTACTTCCATGGGTAAGCATTGTCATAAGTAGAAATAAAGGGGAGAAAGTAAAATAACTAGAGATTAGTGTACCTGTGCAAGAACTCTCGCATGTTAAACTCTTCCCTCTTCTATATCTTTCCGTTTCCATGCTGAGAGGAAAAGACGTTAACGAAACCCGTTTTACTTTCTCGCTACCGCTTACGCAGTGGAGACAAATTTACAAAATGCTGCGTGAGAAAACGGGGAACTTTGGACAGAAGCTCTTATTACAGGGGCCTAGTAACGAAAAGGTGGATAAATCCAGTTGCTAAATTCAGACATAACCCTCTAACACCTGGTGAAGCCAGAGTCCATGTTTTATGGGTCCTCGATTCCAAAAACTCGAATGACGGCATAACTGTATCTGTCCATCTGTGAACAACGCTAGCAGTTAAACCGATCAGCCAATTTTCTCCAAAATTGATCTTTCGCAATCGATCAAGCTGATGTCGCGGTCTCTTGAATTTGAAACCAACATTTCACCCTTGGGGGAGGAGGTGCTTTACACGAAGATCCTGGGAACTTTTCGAAATTAAAAAAAAAAAAAGGCTCCATCGATTTTGATTAAATTTTGTTGTTTAATAGTGGGAAGAACGATAAGGAGAGTGGCGCAGATCTCATGTTCATTAAAATCCCTAATTCTTCGAAATTTGCAATAGTTCTAATTTCTTTGAGACTTTCTACAACTAAACTATTAAAGATAGAGATTTTTTCTCTGAATAAAATCTGAGCCTTAAAGATAAATTTTCAAAAAACTGTGCATGACCTTATTTCAAAATCTGAGTATTTTTCGCGCACTTGTATGAGAAAATACGGGCGAGAAATTACGTGCTGTTTTATCACCTCTAGTTGAAAGTTGCACAAATATTAACATTGAATAATACCATATTGGAGATGGATATTTTGTTTTAAACATATGTTTTAAAAACAGATCTTTAAAAAGGGATCATGTACTACTTTTTTTTAAAAGAGTGTTTTTCTCGTAATTTCTTCTCGAATTGAATGAAGTGAATAAGAAAACTTTTCTAAAAACGGACACAAATATTTTCTTTAAATTTGTTCCACCGACAGAACAAAGGACGTTCAAAAATGGCGCCGATCTAATTTTTGTTGACTTGACTGATTTTTGAAAATTGCTTTAGTTAAATATAAAGTAAAAGATGATTAGTTCTTTAAGCGCCGGAAAAAGTGACTACCGGCGAGAGACTGGAAGGTGAAGCGCATCTATGAGGTGACTCTGACCGTTCAGGTACAGTTTATTATTATCATTATTATCATTATCATTATTATTATTATTATTATTACTATCATTTATATTATTATTATTATTATTATTATTATTATTATTATTCCACCATGAATTTAAGTTTTCCCGGCGTGAACAATAATGTCACAGCCTTTAACATTGGTGGTTGGAGGTTATCCCTGGCGGGAGCCCGGCCTCGGCAGCGACTGCAGTGCCCGGTGCGCAGGAGCTGCCGGCGGGGGCGGTGGGCGGCGTGGCGCGCGCGTGCGACGCGCTGCAGGAGCTGCGCTGCGAGTGGGCGGCGCTCGTCACCGACGACGACGTGCGCCAGCTGGTGCGGCTGCGCGGCGCGCGCCTGCGCGTGCTGGTGCTGGGCGGCGAGGCGCTCTCTGACGACGCCTACCTGCAGCTAGTGCGCTGCCCCAGGTGCGCACGCCCCACGCGACGCCACCCCAGCGGGCTTTTACAGCAAAAGCACCAATATGGCAATAACGTAGTAGAGACTATATTACAACAAGTCCCTTACATGTACACGTAGGCTTTCGCGGCTCGAGTTCGTGACTTCTTGGCCGTCCGGGTGACGCCGCGTCGTGGGCTGAGAGGCCGACGTTTCGCCTGTCATGTTGCAGGCTTCCTCAGGGCAGTGAGGTATCTCAGCCAACGACGCGGCGCCACCAGGACAGCCAAGAAGTCAAATCCCTTACATACCAAGAATGTCAATCAAGTGAAAACCAAAATTATTGTTTTTGAATTTGTAGTCATTGTTTATATAAACAATTATACATGTATATATATAAATAATTTTTAAATTCGTGAAAACAAAGATAATCGTTATATATTAATATATACTGTGTTATTTCAGTGTGAACTTTTGGAAATCCAGTTTGTGAGGTTTTATCCGGCACAATTTTTGCTACTATAAACCTCAGGTCTGTATTTACATTAAATTTAATTAATAATAAAAGGTATTTCAAAATAAATAACATCAAACATAAAAATCAAGTTATGAATAACACAGTTGCCCGAAGTACGAGGTTAAAGCAAAATATGATCGTACTTTGTATAAATTAGTTTCGCTGTCAAAACCCATTGTCCCGATGCTTTAGATTTGACACGCGGAATGTGTCAGTTGATGTCACGGAGGAGGGAGTCAACCCAGTCCCAAACATCAACTTCCTAGTCATTCAACAAGTATTACATTTTTTAAGAAATCACTCAATAAAACCAAAGAAATAAATTTCAAATACAGTCACAACAAAATTTTGGGCGATTCCAATTCGTGGCTCGCATTGGACTATTCGATGTCTTCTGAACACCGATTGTGTGCATGAGACTGAACTAGGCATATGCAGTGCCTTCCTTCCCGTGCGTCTCACTCAGGGTTGCCCGAAGTGTTGCGAGCTGTTTCCCCACCACTACTGCGGAATTTCCCCAAATAACAACTCCAAAGAAACTAATTTCACCAACTGTAAAAAGAAAAATATTCTTCAAATTATGAAGAAATGACATGAGCTGTCTCTGATAATTTCATTGGCTGTCCCCAACTTCAAATCAACCTCTCGTCCTATAAGCTGCTCGAAGCCATACATTATCTTCGTTTTGATTATGTTTTTCTTTCTTTACGCATGTTGTTTATTTTTCTGTTTTTGATACGTAGAAATGAAAGAGAAAATTATCAATATTTTTTCTTTTTTTATTCACAATAATTGAGAATAATCTCCACTTCGGATAAAAATAGTTTTCCTAAAACTTCTTCAAACGTTTCCCCGTTCATTTATGTTCTCCGTTATTGCGCTACCCCAAGCAAATCCCCAGCCCGGTCTGGATAGTGCTTGTACGGCGGGCGTGCGTGCGCGCGCGCAGGCTGCAGGAGCTGGGCTTGGCGCCGTGCGGGGCGGCGAGCGACGACGCGCTGCTGCGCGGGGTGGCTGCGCTGGGCGAGCTGCGCGCCCTGCAGATGACGGACGCCGCCGCGCTCTCCCCCGCGGGGCTGCGCGCGCTGCTGGCGCAGCTGGCGTCGGCGCCGCATCTGCGCAGCGTCGCGCTCGCGTGGTGCCCGGCCGCCGACGACGCTGCGCTCGAGCTGCTCGCCGACAGGTGGGGCCTTCCGCCACTAAACCTTAGCCGTATGGGACGACCTTGCAAAGCTATACTAGGATCTGGGCTGTCCGGGACCGACAGCACGTGAGGCTTCCCAACCTCACCATGCCGTGCGAACACGAACCGCTCCCGTCCGTCCGTTCCAACGCCTCCTTTCACCCTCCGCCCAGCCGCACCCGATTGGCCGTCACCTCGGCCTATCACCTGGCCCACCTTTATATAAACCAGGGCGCCCAACATCCTTGCGCAGTTCAGCCCCGAAGAGGATCGCGATATGACGGTCGAAACGTCGGCACCTCAGCCATCGACGCGGCGTCACCCGGACAGCCCAGATCATGACTCTGGTCGCGGAAGCTTACGACATCAAAGCTATACTAAGTTTCTTTCATTAAACAATCAACTTGGTCCTTAGTCCCATTGGCGTAGTGAGGGTCGGGGGAGGTGTGGGGGTTCCCTTCCCACTGCTGGTGAGGTCCGGCGCCTACCTACACGTCTTGGAGATTTCCCCCTCAAGTTATGTCGCTCAGTGGGACACTGCCCTAGTCGGGGTAAGCTCTACCTTATGACATGCCTCCCGACATGTGTGGCAGTGTGTGTGTGTGTGTAAGAGGAAAGGTTATAACTAGAAGGAGAAAAAAAAGAGTTCGCGCAGTCCGTAACGCGTTTCATAGGGTATTGCTCCGGCATTCGCTTGGCATTGCTCAAAGAATATCTTGCTACATCAATGTTCAGTTGTCGAGGTGGCGCGTGCTCCTCGTTGCGTAGCGTGCGCGAGCGCATGTGCTGAGCGGGTGCGCGCGTGCGCGTGCGCAGGTGCCAGGCGCTGGAGCGCGTGTCGCTGCGCCAGCTGCCTGCCCTGGGGGACCGCGGGGTGGCTGCGCTGCTGCGCGCCTGCAAGCGCCTCACGCACCTCAGCCTCGTGTGGAACGACGCCATCACAGGTGGGCCCTCTGCTGACGGCGCTCTCCACTCGCGGCTCGGGACGCGTTCCACGAGCGTCTAGGGCGGCTCGGAGATGATCACTTTTTGACGGGGAACACGTTGAGAGAATTTGCATTAAACGAAGTTATATGCGTGTGGCCTTTGTGCATATGGTTGTCTAAAAACCGGGGGAAATGTAAGGAACGTACATGATATCACATTGACTGCGTAAGAACGTGACCCGCTTCACATCTGTGCTTACGGAGTTGCATAAAAATTAGGGGCAAATGCTACTTGTATAAATGAATTTGAATCCGCTATAAGAAGTTTCCCACTTCATGTTCATTTGCAAAGAGCGATAGTTGTCGACCCGTCTACATGCCCTAGCACTTTGTAACATTTATTCTGTGAAAGTCTGTGGAAAATGTGCCGAGCGCTTAGGGCCGGTTTCACCAATGCTTGTTAACACGCTAACGAGGCGTTAGGGGATTTTAACGGCCCATTTGAGAAAATACTTGTTTCACCCAACTAAACGCTTGTTAACTTTCCGTTAAAGTTAACGCGTGATCTCAGCTTCTTTAGCAGCAGTTAACGCTTAGTTAAGCAGAGCAGCCATAGACAAACACGCCGTGGGTGCTCTGTGACCAGAGAGCAGTTAGAGAAAAATGGAGAAAGCTCTACGATATGTGTTAGAAGATAACGAATTAGAAAACCCGGAAATGCTGTCCGTGCTCGTTTGTTAGTGAGGCCCATGCTTCTGCTTTATCCATGCGATTTGCTGCACTAGTTTTTTTATTCGTAATCGTCTTCTACTTGTGGATCAAGTTCACAGAATTTCCTTCTCTTCTGCTGAGAAATTGTCCGTTTTCGACATTTTCACCATAACCAATTGTACAACAAAACACAACAGTTTTGTATAATACCACAATCACCACAATTGAACGACGGAGATTGCATATACTTTTGCTACTTCACTTTTTGTAAGCAGAGTAAACATATTTACCACAGACTTTCCAGTTCAATGCCTTTTGAAAACAAATGCATTTTGTACACCCATTCAAGTTAACTGTCGATTAGCTAATCGAAGCCGCGGAAACTGTGAAACGGAACAAATCTTAAGGGGACGTTAAATTTAACGACTCTTTACTAACGTCACGTTAGGCGGATGTTGGTGAAACCGGGCCTTAGACTCGAACAAGTGTCTCGATCGTGAATGAACGGAATGGAGAATTAATTAGGTGAAAATTGGAAGTAAAGATTGTTCTGAATCAAATGATCACTATTATTGCATGGCTTATGATAATCATTATCAACATTCATTTATTAAATATAACATGTAAAGAGTAGCTATTTTCCTTCAAGTCATTGGTGATTCATTAAAGATAAAGATGCCATTGAGTACTTATTTAAACCCTCTTGTCGATGATTACAAGGCGATCAAAATATCATCTATAAATACATAAGACACAAACTCACATACGCCAAACACCGTCTTCGTGTCCTTTTTTGTGGAACAATTCACGTAAATAATAAAATAAATTATATTTTAGATTTGCCCTAGAAGTTATTCTAGGATTATCGCATTAGAATTTTTTAAATCGGTTAAATTTCGATTTTATCTGAAAAGTACAAATAATTGATTGCATTATTTCGCATATTCTCATACTATGCATACCCACTTAATTATAATCATGTACTGCTTACCTCCTCTCATGCGACAACAAGGCTTTAAGTAAGAAACCGCTCACTTACATTTTGCTGTTCATATACTGCGTTATGGAAGAGCAACTATTTGGATATTTTTGGTTTATAAAGAAGTGCTGTACTGAGTATCCGCTTATACTATGTTATGGCAGTTTTCATGAAAACATGTGTAATGAAAGTATATAATTTATTGCAATGTGAAACAAAATAATTTTTTTTGTTGTTCTCGAAGAGTGGCCATGCTATTTTTTGAGTGTTTCGCTCCTGCTGCCGGAGGCCGGAGTGAGATCCTTGGCGCTTGGCGTGCCGCAGGGCGCCACTTCCTGCCGCTGGTGGCGGAGCTGGCGCCGCGCTTGCGCCACCTGGACCTGGGCTACTGCGACAACATCCCCCAGGAGGCCGTGGACGCCCTCGTGCGGCGGCGGCCCGCCCTCAAAGTGACGCGGCCCCAGGTGTGGTGCCGGCCGCGCAAGACAGCGCACGCGTGCTGCGAGCGGTGGACCTCCTCCTAGACACGCCCCCCCCCACAGGTCCCCGCTCCCACCCCGCGCCCCCTCCCCTGCTCGGAGAAATGTGCCACGCCGCAGTCGGGCGAATTCTAACGCGTGCAATCTCTGTGGGTTAAACTCCGGTTTATAGACATTTCCACGTCTCGTCAATGCAATAGAAGTGTATAAATTGTGTTGTATTAATAAACGTAGTGTTCGTCTCAATTGTTGACAGGAAAACGGGAAAGCAAAAGTTCATACAATACAATGGGTTCCAGAGGGAGCTCTGAAAATACCGTTCTCAGAAATGTACTTCATGCCTGCAATCCGTGGGAGAACACACACCTCAAATCATTTTCTAAGAAGGTAAATTTTACCACAAAGTTTCGAAATTGAACCGAAAAAGTCTGGAGCGGGATTTGTAGCACATTTAAATTAATGGTTTCTCAACAACACATACTTTCTCGTATCAATATTACTATTATGTAAATTCATAATACCACAATTTTTGTTCCAATTTACACACCTCACATATGTTTAAAACTCATTCCCTATCGTAGCGCATTTGGCGCAAAAAATAATTTATTTAAAGGTAACACAACACCACAAATTCGTCAATCCATTCCATACACCCAGAAACATTATTTAATAATATGAAGTTATTTTCAGAATTCCAACCGTCCTGTCGCGGCGTTCCATTGTTGTATTTTAATGTGATAACTTCTTAGACTCTTGCTAAAGAAGTGCGGGAAATTTGAATTTGTAAATTTGAAAAATTAAAATTACGCTAAGCTATTTCTTGAAAGAAATGTTTACTATCTTTTTAAAACACTGCCTTTTTTAATGAAATTTGCTCTAAAAAGCAGTCATCATATATCTCCGTTATATTGTATAGGGTGTCGTACGAAATGAGTCACCATTTGCTTCTTACATGAGTCGCACTAGATATCCCGATGAGCATCTCAACAGCAGTAGCAGCAAAATTGGAGAATCAAATGAGTTACGAAATATCGCGTAATTGACGATACCGCCGCTAAGAGACTAGTATATATGACAATGGCCAACAAAGTAAAACTGACGTCACAGCAGCGATCGAAGGCTGTATTTCTTTCATGAAAAGAAAAGTTTTATTGCGATTCAACGGCGTTTTTGACAACGTTGCGTTTTTGACACTCGACGCCGTTTCGACATGCGGATTATTTCGCGGAGGTTTCCAGGTCGTTTCAATAACGGACAATTTCGGCTCCAAACAGTTCTCAACCAATGTGACTTTTTTTTTCGATGTACCTTAAAATCCCTAAATGTTCACAGGAGTTACTGAACAGCACAGACGATTTGTGTTGTAAGGTTAACGTTAAAGGCACGAAGTAATGAAACCAAATGGAGGACATATTGAGAATGTGATACATTAGAAACATTCTCCAAGAAGTGTTTTCCATTGTAGTATATGTTCCTTTCAGTGTATATTAACAATAATATTTTGATTTTACAACAAAATGGAGGCTCGTTTCGTGCTGCTGCGTTGGGTCTTCCTTTGTTAGGCTTTTTTATTACTCGCACAACTTTTCTTGTACGAAGAATGGAAGAAATGAGGGTAGAGTTGGGGTATTAGTTAGGAAATCGACCTATAGATTTTATGAAACGATCCCAATCTCTCGAGAATCAGTTATGCCTTAGCAGCTTTCTCAATAATTTGCGTAATTAGAAGTTCGAGGTATCTCTTGAGATAGATCTTCACATACTTTGGTCATTTCTTTAGATTTCTTGGAGAAAATCATGGACAGAAATTCTCGTCCATCAGAAAATACCTTCTATTTCGCGCGAATGAGGATTTGTTTGGAATGTCATTAGTGCTCGCTGCGAGCTTTTGCCTTCATCTGTTTATGGTCCCAGAGATGGGGAAGCAAGGTTATCGTTCAAGAAAAGTTGCGCGAGTAATGTACAAACTAGTGTCCTAGCAGCGATACCGTGAATTATGCCTGATTTCGTAACTCAATTGTTTCTCCAAGCTCTACTGATCTTGCTGTTAAGATGCTATTTAGTACGACTAAAATTGTGTGAGAAACAAATAGTAATATTTGCCACTCTGTACATTTGCAATGTTAATTTTTTGTTGATGTTTTCAATTTTTAAATGGAGTAAAATATAAAAACGGAGAAAATGAGGACCCAATATTTACTGACAAGTAGATTTAATTTTTGTAAATAGCAACAGCAAAATCTGTGATAACGCCACCAATTTTTCTGATCTGCTAGAGGCACAATGAACATTTACATGTCTGTTGCCCTATTATTATATTGTAGATGTCAGTGGAATGCAATTTGTCCCAAGGTAAAACTGTCGCAAGGTACGCCACCTTCCCCTACTACAACTTACGAATTTTGAGAAAACAACGAAAATGTTTGTCAACCGTGACCACTGACGCTGCTTTCTCTTAGCTGTGATTAAAAATATAAGAAAAATAATTGCATTTTTTGGATTTGCTAGCAGAGGAGGGATCTGGTTGGCAAAGTGCCATCTAAACCCAATTAAAAAGTCCTCCAAACGGTATTTGTGATTAGAGATGACAATGGAACTCTAAGCTAAAAAACTGATACACTAAAATCAAGAGCTTGGTAGAATGTTTCATCAGAACAAGAGATGCAAAATATTTCCTTTCTAATAATGCAGATGACTATAAATGAACTACGAAAATATTACCATCGAAGATCTAACTTGGGACCGTAACTCCATCTGTATTATATTGCTGCTCATAAGAGTTCTGTGAAAAATTTGTTAGATCGTAAGGACACTTGAAAGTTTACGGAGCAAAATAACCAATGATGGAACCTCACTAAGCTTCTAACCAGCTCTTTATGCCAACAAACCTGTCTCCCCTATAAATACAGTATGACTGCAATATTATTTAAATATAAAAGTACAATATTCAATGAAATATCATTGGAGAGTGTATTAATATACTTACAATTTTCACAGGGTGAAAACGTATTCGTTCGAGGCAGTGAGCGTTTAGAAGTGTTGGGATGATACATCGCAGTTTCGACGTATTTTAATGTCATATCCAAGTAAATTTGTTGTGTTCACATACTAATAAAAATATGTATTTAAAAAACAAAATCCGTAATACACGTATCAGAGAAAGATTGAAATTTAGAATGTTTATAAAAATATGACTATACATTTATTGGTTGAAGCTATGCATATCCTGTACCTATGCCAATGACAACATATAATAATACGTACTGTAGATAGAATTCTTCGAAGGCGAATGGTAAATAACGTGCCAACAAATCAATGTGCTTAAATATTTCAACCGCGACTGATTCTTAACTTTCGTATTTAAGTGTACAATGTTTCTAAAATCACATTTGTGCAACCTCTATCTACCTGAACTTCAAAGAAAAATATTTATTTACCACCTCGATCTCTAAAAAAAGACTAATAACTATAAATTAACTTTTGAATTAATTACAATTAATTCACAGTTGGTCAACAGGGCAATTTGAAACTTGCAACGTTCAGAAGCACACTTCTTTTTGTGTCCAGGCGCGGCAAGTGTACTGGAGAGGTATTCCTCAGTAGGATTTCCACTCGCGAGGCACGTCACCTACGCACCTTCGCCCTCAACGAAGTTTGTGGCGCAAAGTGTGTTTCCAACTGTGTGGCCCCTTCAAATAAGATTTTAGTTTTTCAATAAAGCTGTATGATTTGATATGCTACTTTCTCTATATACATGCTGGAATTTCCTTCTCATTATTTTCAGCTTTTGCATATGATGTGAGTAAAATGTGTTTCAAGGCTTCTTACACTCCAACAAAATGTATTCTTTATATTGATTGAATTCATTTTGTACGTTAATATTTATGTTTTTAAACAAGCACCAGCGCTAGCTCAACGGTCACATTCGTTTCAGTGGCATCATTGACCCGGAGCTTTTAGAGTCCGGGACTCGAGGGGCGGACTTTGAACACTTGTCATAGGTATATCGATCTAAACCAATTGCTGGTGAAATTCTAGCGTGTGGATACTCTTATCGGTAGTTTCACCTGTTTTTTTTCGATCAACTCCAGGTCATTCTGGAGCAATACCCTAACAAATGGGCTACGCACCGTTAGCGATCTTTCCTTCCTCGTTCTTGCCCCATCCGCACGCCATACACGCACTTACACACATGTCGGAAGACCAGACGTGAGTTTGTAGTTTGTCCCGACTGGGGGGGGGTGCCCCACTCGTGGAAAATATCTGTTTAGGAAACCCCCAAGCTGATGAATAGGTCGGCGACGCATCTCACAACTGTCGGGGAAAACCCAACGCGACCTTGCGTGCTTGCACGTACGCGACTAACGGCCAAAGCAGCCGACGTGCCACGAAACATGAAACAACCAAAATCAAAGTCGTGACATTTCCGGAGAAGGCGTCGAATATCATATTTCAGGAAACGAGGAACAACGCCACTCTCCGGGATATAACGTGCCATACACTTCCCGGGACTAATGACCTCAACACACCTCGGAACAATCATCACATTAGTTGCTCCTCGTTCTTTGTTTGTTTACATTGTTTTTCATCTAGCCTTTTGGAGTGGACTTGTAATGATGAAAATAAACGTTATAAATAAGTTTAATTCTATTTTTCTGATCGACTCAACTATTTTATTTTAAATAATTATTTTAAAATGTTCCCCCTACAAGTTTTTTTCTACTCCCATCAGGTTTGTCATGTTCAAGACAACAAAATGGGATTAAAAGTCTATTTGTAATAATTTTTCCAAAATATTAAATTTGTTAATAAAAAATGCACTAGTTGAGTTTGTTATTTATAAAACAGTCATTTTAAAGCAGATAATCTAAAAAATCTTTAGATTATCTGCTTTAAAAGCAGTATTATGAACATTATGAATAGAGAATTTCGACAAATACTCAGAATCTTAAACATATACTTTAACTAGTAGTGCTACAGAATCGCACATACTTTCTTGTACCATGTCATTTTCTACTTTTCTCCGTCTGCGATAGCTTTTGTGACCCATGTTCTTGACAGCTCTCATCTATCGCCGCCTAAAATACACGTTTATAAAAATTCTCTAATTTTTCAGTTTGCTATTGGATCAAGCGAAATATTACTTTAAGAATATTGTAGAATAAAAATACACCCATATGGAAACTTTTGTTGGAAAATTTGTAGCTGTGTATAAGAAAATGTTTTTTAAGTATTACTTTAAATTCAAACTTTCAAACACTTTTTTTACAGAATACTTTTGAGTTTTCGAAGAATTTCACTGGAAGTCATTTCAAGCACTTCCACTTATAAATGCATAAATGTCCTCAAATTTTCACAAATGTTATTGCAGTGCATATTAACGATGTGAGAGATATTAAAAAAATACATTTACGTATTTTTTTAAAAACAAATAAAACAATTGAATGGCTTGTATGTCATCTTAAACAGTAATATTTCAACCTATTTAAACGTAGATATTTCAAACTAGCACAACGCCAAACTAGCTAAAACTGCACGTTCATTCTCGCCTGTACTTTCATTATTATGCGAAAAGCAACCAAATGTTTGAAAAATTGTTCCTGACATTATTTCAAAATCTGTCTCTAAGGAACATATTTAATTAACGGAAAAAACTCTCTTATCTTCATATTTGTAGTTGTAGGAAGTCGGCGAAAAAAATTATGAGGCCAGCACCATTTTCTTAAACGTCCTTCACGTAATCTAGTAACAAAATTTAATCAGAAACGAAGCAGCTATTTTTTTGAGAATACGGGACAAGACCGAAAAGCTAGCCCGGCCCTAAGGAATTAAAAAGTAAGCACTTCTAGAAAGTCTGTGTTACACTGTAGCGCCACTAGTTTCTTCTACATGTCATCTTTCTTGTGTTTGTATCATCCACTTGTTCTTCTCAACGGTACTTGGACGTTTTCCATTCCTGTCTCATGTATAATTAAGCTCCACGGTAGCGTGCAGCAGCACTTTCCATTTTTTGTGCGTTGCGATCCCGAATGCACGGCCCGTGCGTAAATGACGTGGAGAGACGGGAAGAACTGACGTCACATCAGGTGGCATTTACTGGTTCGCTTCCCTTTTGACAGTTTGAAGCCTGTCATGTTGCAGCTGTCAATTTCATTCTTGGCTTAGCTGAAGTATCGAATTACTTTTTCCTAATTTTAAACATTCATTGTGTTCCCATTGTAGTCAACCATATGACAAACCCAAACTAGTACGGCTACCTTAGAAACTTTCTCATAATATTAGAAACTGTGGTTTAAAATTATAATATTGTAATTTATTTGCTACTAAGGGACGGATTAATGGTGTACAGGGTGGGCGGATTTAATGGTGGGTAAGGTGGTTGGTAGCCCATGGGCACCACCAAGAAGGAGCCTTCCATCAAACACAAAATTGGGTA